TCCCCCTCCCCTTATTGCCTGGCGTCTCGATTCTTCTCCACCTGGTGGTGACCTCTTTTCTTCCTCCCCCTCCTACCTGAGCTCCTTCCTGGCTCTTTGGGCCCCAGCTGCCTTGCCAGCAATCAGACCAGTCTAAATTGCCCATATATGGTTAAGCTCCTTCCCACCTCCCGTTACTACTCCTATTACAACCTTTAACAGCAACCCCCCCCCTTAGTTACAAGTGGCAGAACCAAATCAATCCAACTCCCATTGAATGCAATACAATGGAAAACAACAATAGTTGGGTGATGCAGGTTCTGACAGCTATTTTATGTACATTAATTAGGGACCAAGCTAAGAAATGCCTCCTGGATTTAGAGCTGCAGTTCAGTCTAGGTCAGTTTCCCAATTTCTATAGGATACCAACTATATTTGATGGGAGAGTCATGGCATCTTTATCTTTACCCACTGACCTATTCCAAATATCAAAGGCATATGCATTTTACAGGGGCATGTTAGAATGCCCTTCCTTCTGGGCTGCCACAGGTCAAGTATCACAAAACTCCTATAACGTGCCACATGTGGTATGAAAGAAATTGAAATAATTACGCAACTGTTTCTGCACTGAAGATTTGATTTGGCCTTATATCAGAATTTAGTACAACATCTCCTTTTTTCAGTAATAATGCCAGGGGAGTCAGATGGTTATTATGTGGTTTCCTATTAGTCAGCAAGAACTTTCAGGTGGTTTTTAGCATCACTAAATTGTTATATAATCAAGAATGTGGCAGATGATGCATCCTGAAGACCAGCTTCCTCCTATGTCTTTTTATATTTCTCTGACTGCTTGTTTTAGTGCTCTTTGGACATGATGAAGGTTTTTATCTGATTTGGGGTATTCAAAATCCTCATAACTTGTCACCTGTTTGGGAGGTTTGGCATTTCCGTCACCCTTCTTATCTCCAGCCCCAGGTGCAGTGGGAGCCTCAGTGGTCTCTTCACTCCCCTTTCCACCCTCATTTTCCTCATTTGACTGTCCCTGTTGAGACATTGAACAACAAGAATATCCTACTGTATATTATTTCAAAAGATGTATACATGAAAATCTTTTAATTATTATATTTACTATACATATTTTCATAGTACTAATACCTATAAAGCTATAGAGGCAAGGTAGAGCAAATCTCAACTTAACAATAAATCATTTCAAATACGTTCAAGCCATTAAAATGACAACAATAAATTCTTGAATCTAAGGCATTAGATACCGCAAATGGATCTTGATGCCTTTTCTAAAATCAGAATGAGGTTCATTCATAGGTCTCAAAAGAACAAATTCCATTATTAAGAGAGAGAGAGGTGGAGGGAACCTTTTTTCTTATATACCAAACAACCTGATATGCACAAAAGGGCCTGTCATACAAATCTTAGATAGGTGACTAAGCTTACTTACAAATTTCTAGAAAAAGCAATTCTCAGTGTTTATTCACCCTGGTTTTCTTTTGTTTCTGGTAATAGTGATCATGAATGGTGTGAAAAACAGAAGAATGTTTTCTGAAGTTGTTCTGCAGAATCCCTTCCCCTAAAGAAAGGATTCTCAAATGTGTGACTATGTTTTTTCAGAGATAATTTAATGTCAGTATTCCAATTTTTAGTTGTAATTTCAAACTACATCCCCCCAAACATATATTAACATTTAATTGTAATTTGGGAGGATATAGGACACTTATATCAGCTGTAAATCCCATCAATTCATGACCTGATATTTGAAGGATAAACTGAAAAATTTAATCTAAAGTCCTGTAAAAATTTGGATCTCAAACACTCAGGCAGCTGCCTGGAACTCTAGCATTATCTTTCTGCAAAATTGGCAGAATGTCATGTTTTGCAACATTGTTCTAGCACACTGCTGGTCAGACCATCTTAAACATTTATATGTGAGTGTAGCTGTTCTTAAGATCAGATGGTTAGAATGCTTAAAAATAAATTGTAATGTGATGCCAACAAAAATTGAAGTTATTTTCCTCACAATTGGAAGAACTTGCAAAATTGCATGGTGTGGCTGGCTATTTGGATAGCTACCAGAGGTCACTATGTCCTCTATATAACAGCAATTATAGGGCTATTTATTTAAATGTTGTGGAGCTTCTGCCTATGTCAAGGCAGGACATAGCCAGGAGTAAAACCACTGAAATGGATTTGAGAAAGACAATAGCTTCACGGAGTCATGTATCTGAACGTGCTGAAAGCTAAGTTGGGGGACAATGGGACTGTACCTGCTGTCCTATCCATGTCTCTCCCCAACCCCTACATGTTTAGGTGGGAAGTCCAAAGGGATGATACACACATGATCTAGGACCCAAATAAAATAATATCCCAGATTGTGGCTATATTCACATCCAACTGAATATGGGATAGTCCCCCTTTAGGCCTTCTGCTTGAACACATTGAGGTTGGCAGGAAATGGAGGTAGAACTGTGTACCCATCTTCTCTTTCACTTGGAATTCTCCACTCATTCACGTGAATGTTCTAATGTGGAATATTGTCTGTAGGGATTTTCTAAAAGTCCATAAGGGAAACTCTAATTTGGGACACTTTAGAACTTCTAAAGAGCAGTCTCCAGCTGCCTATAGCAACACCTGATCACAGGCCTTTGAAGAGGCCTTTCTCTACTACAACACCACCAGTTACTAATAATCCCACTTAAAATCACCTTTTGCTAAAATAAACTCAGAAAACAAACAAACAAGCAAGCCTTTTAAAAACATATTCAAGCACATTTGACCCAGTAAACCAATATGCTGTTGAAACCACTGGGTGAGGTCATCTAATGGCACCGGGTATGGTATCATCAGTATGCTGATGATACCCAGCTATACATCTCTACTCCTGGCTGGACAGGTGATGCTGCTGTGGTGCTGTCCAAGAGCCTGGAGGCTGTAAGGGTCTGGATGGGGATGAACTGACTTTGGCTAAGCCCTAGCAAGATGGAGTGGCTCTGGGTTTTTGGCCCCCCAGGGTCTGGTGACTTGTCATCTTTGGCTCTGGATGGCATTGCACTTCCCTGGACTGAGCTGGCACTCAGTTTGGGGGTCCTCCTGGACTCATGGCTCCTGCTTGATCAGCAGGTGGCAACGGTGCACAAATCTGTCTTGTGCACCAATTGTCCCCTTTCCTGGATCAGGAGGCCTTGCTCACAGTGACTCACACCTTAGTCACTTCCTGTTTGGATTACTGCAATGCACTTTACATGCGGGTTGCCCTTGAAGACCACTTCAAAGTTACAACTAGTCCAGAATGCAGTGGCGCGAACAGTAGGTAGGTTTGTCCAAGTTACCCCTCTCTTGCTCAGGCTGCACTGGTTCCCAGTTTCCTTTTGGGTGTAATTCAAGGTGCTGGTTATCCCCTTTAAAGCCCTACATGGCATGGACCTGGTTATTTGCAGGACTGTCTCTCCCTAAGAATATCATAGAGGGTAGGCATGCTCCAGATCCCTTCCCTGAAAACCTGCTGCCTGGTTGGACCCCAGAAACATGCCTTTTCTATAGCTGCCCCTACCTTGTGGAACACCCTCCACTGGCGATTCGGCAGGCCCCTACCCTTTAAGCCTTTTGGAAGGCCATCAAGATGTGGCTTTTTACAAAGGCGCTGGGACAGGATAGAATAGAATACAAAGAATGGAATGAGGGTGATTGGAGCTGGCTGTGGGGTATCCCCTAAGGGGATGATTATGGCACATAGTTTTTGTTTTTGTTGGATCGTTTTACTGTTTTATTGTTTTATGGTTATTTTATAGTTACTGGTTTTATTGTTCTTGTGAGCTGCCCAGAGTTGCTTAAGATGGGCAGCCATATAAATCCTTTAAATCAATAAATAAACTTAAATAAAGAAATTATTAATACTGTTCAGGTAAAAAAAAATACATTCCCTAAATAAACATATTCCAAATTATATATTTATTTAGGAGACTTATATCAGCTTTCATCCAACAACAGTGTGTAAGTTTGTTGTGAAATTTAGGGATTTTCATCATATCTTCATGACTGCCAATTGATGCTCGTGGATGCATTCTGCCGATCTTCTACCTGTTTGCCATATGTGGTGGTTTTCATAATGCTTGCATTATATGTTCTATATGATCCCTGTTTTGTCTTCTTTGGCTGACAAGTTTGGCTGATACTGACAGTTTCAAATGCAATTTCATTTGAGAAACTAGACATTTTAGACTGAGCCAGGTTCAAAAATGGAAGAGAGGTCCTAGACACTTGGCACTTTGACAAATCACCCATTAAGAGACACATTGAGAAAAGCTCCATCTATAAACCATTCAAAAAAGGAAGCAACCAAAAGTCAAAGAAAGGGACAAAGAGCCCTAAACACATGCCTCCTCATCACACCCTCATGAACCAACATCCAGTTAAACAGGAACCACCACCAAATAAATAGGAAGAATCAAGAAAGAAACACTATCCCAATCAAGACTGGTAGGACAAGCCACCACATGTAAACAGACAGAAAACTCCACTTCTCCATGCACTGATGAAGTTACCTAGCTTGGTAATAAAATGTCTGCAAGAAGAAAAACAAGCTCAGAGAACACCAAAACCCAACAACTCAACTCTGAGCTACATATATTCTCCGCTATATGGATGGGTGCCCAGCTACCATTTTATGTAAAGTCCCTATGAGTCCACACTGGTTTGATGTCACATCATCAATTAAAATCAAGCAAAGGTTATGTTGCCTTTATAGTAGGCTTAATATTGTGAGCTATCCAGAAGCTTGTGAGGGACAAATACTGTAAAATAAACATTGTAAAATAAATAAAATTTAAGCTTCTTTTTTCAAATCTGTTTCTACCTATCAGGATCAGTCTGCCTGTCTATCTATCTATCTCCTTAATTCAGGCCAGTTTAACTTGCCACACAATTGAGCAAGCCACTTACCACTCATGTTTGGTAGGGTACCCAGAACGTTGGAAACCTCATGTTTGTCGCTTGCAAGGCATGACAAAAATAGAAATGCTTCAATGTACCTGCAAACAGCCATACTGTATGCATGACTGTGACCACCATTTGTACAGACCTGCCTTAATTCAACCTCGGGTTTTCTTAAAGGATGACTATGGATCGTATATTATTTTTGTGGTGCTTTGGGACCACAGCAGTTGTTCTTGAATAAATGGACAAAAATACCAAACCTATGGATCCCAATAGTGTTCATTGTGTCTTCAAGCTGCTGCTTGTTTAGATGACTTAGGCTTAAAAAAATACAGCATCAAACCAGAATAGAAACTTGTGGTCGGTTAGTAATCTTCACCACGGGCACTCATAGACTATAGGGCTAAAAACAATCCTCCTTTGTTTTAATGCTCTTTGGTTTGTTTTGAATAAAACCAGACACTTTCCTTACCCCTTCCTCTTCCTCTTCCTCCTCTGAACTGTTGCCACCAAAACCTTCTTCAGATGAGTCACTGTTAAACTAAAAAGAGAGACAGTTCTGAGGCATTTGCTCCAAAACAACAATGAATGCTCATTTACAGGAAAGCGATCAACTTCTGCTCTCCCGTATGAATATATTTATACTGAAGTCAATGTAGTTTTTCCAGTATTTCAGAGCTGAGACTTCAGAAGTTTCCTTCGTGTGCTTGAGAGAAATGAAATAGAGGCAATAAGGAGATATAAGAGATAATTTGGTGAGGTAACCAATGATTGCAGGTTTTGAATGTTTTACCTTCATGCAAACTTTCATATTGTAATTTTTATCTAAAGCAATGTTTCTCAACCTTGGCAACTTTAAGACGTGCGGATTTCAACTCCTAGAATTCCCCAGCCAGCATGGGAATTCTGGGAGTTGAAGTCCACATGCCTTAAAGTTGCCAAGGCTGAGAAACACCTATCTAAATAGCTCAGTGGTGTTTGCACTTGCTCCCCAGTTAGCCTCCTATCTGGAAGGTTACACAGGAAGCTAATAAGCCTAGAGAGATGATTTCATCACAGAATCTCTGGATTCTAATCCTCATATCTCCAACCTGCCCTGGAAGGATTCCTACCTGAAACCTATATTATAAAAACCATTGGCCTATCCTGCTAAAAAGGCCTTTTAAAGACTATTTCCCAGCTTAAACACCAATTAGCAGCTTTGCAGTGCTCTAAATAAGCCACCTTGGATGATATCAGTTTCTTTCATCCTGTCTTCAAAGGCAGGAAACATGATTTCTTCACAAAAGTAGGGGCTGAATAGACCACAGCTAAAAGATCATCTAGGCCTTTCAGGAAACTATAGATGTTTGGGCTTGGTGTTTGTATTATCCATCAGGAATAATAGGACAGGCAAGATAGATACAGAGGAAGTTCTCCAGTGCTGCAAAGACATTGATCAATATAAAAATATCTCTGTTCCTAACAGAGAAGCCAAACCACTGTTCTGTTGAGGCATCATTCCCAGAAGACAATTTTTAGTTCCTTACATGATCCATATTTGAAAACATGTAATTAACAGGCCCCTCCATCACTCCCAACTTGTCCATAAGAAACCACCACTTATGGAACATCCCTCTTTTTCCCTTAACAATGGAAGAAAGAGAAAGCTGTAAAAAACTAAAATCAGTCCAGAAGCGTTCGATTTTAATGGACCAATAATACTGATATTTGGCCATACATGCAAAAATTAGCACATTATCAACTTTTCTGCATGCTGTGTCTTTGTCAGGTGCAAAGGAGCTGAAACAACAGTAACCATTTCACTGCCAATGGGATTGTTAGCTGTGTGAAGTTGAATATGTTATGTCTGGATGGCTGTGCCTAAGGAAAATATGCCATATATTTTCAGTATTCTTACAGAATTATTTGCAGGAATTACACAGTCACCTACTTAACTCCTGTATTCATCTTTGTACTGCACCTCAAGACTCAGTACTAACACTTTAAAAGATTTGAGTCCAGAGCAGGGCTGTCTGTGTTGTTGTTTAGTCGTTAAGTCGTGTCCGACTCTTCGCGACCCCATGAACCATATTGCGCCAGGCCTTCCTGTCCTTCACTGCCTCCCTGAGTTTGCTCAGTTTCATGCTCAGGGCTGTCTATAGTGATGGCAAAGAAGTCAAGATGGCAGCCACGATTGTGCAATCAAAGACCTGCTCCTTTATGCACATGTGTTGCACATAAAAAAGAGAAGGCTTTGATCATGCTATTGTAGTTGCCATCTTGACTTTTTTAACCTCTCCCCCTGTGGACACCCCTGCCTGGAGTTTAAAAGTTTTTTAAAAATTGTATTTACCTGGAATCTTTTCATAGGTGGGTAGAAGTAAGGATATCTATAAAGAAAATGCCTATATCTGTTCTTGAACACCTGCCAAAAAAGAAAGGCATTTCAATAGTTAAATCTAAGAAAAAACATTGGCATGCTTAGTATCAGAATAAAAATTCAATGATGTTGCCAACGTACTGCATTTTCTTCTGAATCCTCTGACTTAAATCTTCTTCGGAAGTTTTTTGCCTACAACAAAAGAGGGGATAACTTAGAAAAGTTACAGTGTGTTTTTATTTCCGTATTGCTTACTTAAGTTTGGTGTCAGCCTCCGTGCCTCTTTGCTGAAACAGGCCTCCCTTGTGGAGATGCGCACTGGATATTCCATAACCTGCTCTTTGATCCTGTGCTGTAATGTTGTGTTTTACCTGTAGATGTTGCTGTTGTGCTGGTGCCTTCTATGTTGCCGTAGCTTTACCCTCCAGGTAGAAAGCATTAAAGTGACACTAACCTGGTCATCACAGAGCCAAGTGATGATATGCTGAGCGTGAAAACCACACTGTTCTATCATCTACGCTTGGTGAAACCTGTCTATATCTATAGGATCTGAATCTGCTTTTTAAATCTATCTTGTAACCAGTAGGACAGAGATAGTGGGGCTCTAGACACAAATTCCAGGCTGGGAAACTCCGATGCTTAGAACCAGCAGAGTTACTTCTGGCTAGAATTAGCAGGACTTGGCTAAAGGGATCGGTGATCTAACTTAATATTACGTCACCTTATATCTTCAATAATAATTTAGGAGCACATGAACCTGCCTTATAATGAGGCAGACTATTAGGGCTGGACTGTTTCAGGCAGCAATTTTCTTAGCTCTGCCACAAGAAGTTGGGGATTGAAACTAACGCTTTTTATATGCATGGCCTGTGCTCTGTAATAAAACGATTGCTCATTCATAGTAGGCATGAAATGAAATTGAGTAGGAATGTGCATAATTCATCCATTTGTTCCCAAATCCCAGATGGTTCCTGAATTGACACATTTTGCACATGCCTAAAAATGAACTGATGGAGAAAAGACAATGGCCTTACAGCTTAAACATGTTCATTTGCTGTGTGTATTTATCATGGCTTTACTTAGATGACAATGAGTCATGAGTGACCGTCCCAAGGGATTTTTAGGTCCCTAACTTGCACTAACAATGTATAGCACATAGCTTTGTATATAAGGAATGTAATCCAAAGGAGAGTTGTGCAATTTCCTGATGAAATACATAATGCTGGTGTGCATTATGTGATCCAACAAGAGTTTGATATTGCCAATCAATATACAAAGTTCTTGTTCTTATTATTTCTACTTTCCACTAGGTGGCATAGCTAACTGGCAGAAAATTCAACGGCTGGAAAGAAGAGGGTTTTTTTTGTTGTTGTTTTGTTTTAGCTTACCACTGAAATATAAGGTCACGCTCTTTGGGATATGAATAATTACCATCCCATTGCTTTACCTTTATCATTCAGTTATATTCTATATATAATGTAACAACAAGTTTTTTAAAATAAAAATGTGTTGATGATCCAGTAACTGTTTAGATTATGGATTTCTATTATGATATGTAATCTACTACTTATAGACTAGTACACTTAAATGATCACTAGTTATCTCGGATGATATGAATCTTATTAAATTTGGACGATACAGACAAGGGAGTACAGAGTAGCCAGCTTGACTTGTTCTCGCGTTTATCAAACCATGTCAAGCTGGCAAAGTTTAAGAAACTAAGTGAAGTGCGTTGACAAAGCCCGCCATGGAGATTCAGAATTTCCCATACCCTTTCAGCGCAAAGTGCAAAAGGAAGCAGTATGGCTCACACTTGCTCTGATGAAGTTCATGTGTGACATTACCCTTGTAATTCATTTGGCATTCAGTTCCAATTCCTACAATGGAATTGAAGATTTGGTCAAAGTTTCTGGCTATCTAGTAGGTTTACTTGAAGCCTTGACAAAGTGGCTTGTGCTGTGTAGGAAAAACAGTTCACCTGGTTAAGGCAAAGATCCAGCATCATTTGCCTCAAGGAGACAATTCCTGTTGCCTTGAACTGTCAACCAGTCCTTGAAAAGGCTATTGGGACTATCACAAGATCCTTAGATGAGAGACACTGAAACAATGAGGGAGCTTCACTTTTAGAAGTGAATGAGCTGTATTGTTCCCTAAAGCAGCTTTGAGGGAATGCTTCTCTCAGGTCTCTGTCAAAGTGAAGCGTCTCCGTGAAGATCTGCACAACTGCACTCTGTTTCAGTATCACTGGCTTAGGTCATTCATGACTAGAGCATCTGCTTGAAAACTTACAGGAAGAGAATATTTCTGCAAATATTCAGCTGAAAGCTGATCTGATATAAAGTAGGCCCACTAGGTAATCGTGCTGTCCTCCCTTTTTCCCTCCCTCCACCATCCATCCATCCATCCATCCATCCATCCATCCATCCATCCATCCATCCATCCTTCCATATAACAGTCCCACAGGGTCCCTCAAGAGTATTATCAAGTGCTCTTTTTTTTACCAGACTAAACCTACCCAATTCCTTCAACCTTTCCTTATGATATTTTTTCCCATGGCTTGCGTCCCCTGTATCATATTAGTCTATAACTTTCTTGAAGTATGGCACCTAGGACAGGGCAGTGTATCCAGATAAGGTTTGATTAATATGGATTAAAACCAAACTATGATTTGTAGTGACTTGGAAATTATGACTCTTCAAACAGAACTTGCAACAAAATGATTCACTGAACAATGCTCTTGTTAAGAATTCATGCTCAGTGACAGCTGGGAGTTTGTAATCAAAGTTCTGCCTGTTTTTTATCTGGGGGTGCATGTGCAATGCACTTAAATGCACTTAAATAACCAAGATTTGATCCCACCACTGCAGCCACTATTTTGACTTTTTTGACAGTACCATGTGGATACTTTGATGCCCATTGAGCAAACTGAGCCCTCATTGGGTGATTTAAGTTTCTATTTTCTCATTTACATTCCTACCTAGCTGCACACAAAGATTTTTAATAGTTCTGCAAACTTCTAAGTTGCCTTAGGTATGTTGATATTTTCCTTCTGCGCATGGGTAGTAGAATTTTGGCTAGATGAAGATTGGCACTTACGGGTTTGAGTTTTATCATAATTGTTCTACAATTAATATATTTTTATGATTCATGTTTCCTAATACGATATTAGGCTCTTTGCAGGCATACATATCAAGTTGCTGATTCACATTTAGATTGCACAGAGCCAATAATTCCATAGCCAGCATCCTACCAATTTACTGTGCTTATTTGATGATGATGATGATGATGATGATAATTACTTTAACTTTAAAATTAAATTAAATTTATATGCTGCCCAACTCCCAGTGACTCTGGGTGGTTTACAAATTGATAAAGACATTTAAAAACAAGGAGCAACACAAAAGCAACACAAAAAGAGCAGAGATAGTAGAAAAAAACAAACCCACATGGGAACAAGGAAAAGAAAGAAGGGGGTGTCAGTAGTTCTCACCAAAGGCCTGGGCAAAGAGCCACATCTTTAGGACCTTTTGAAATACCAGTAGGGTGGGGCTGTTCAAATCTCGGGAGGAACCCCATTCCAGAGGGCAGGTCCTGCTGCAGAGAATCAGAGGACCGATAGGTGACATTGTTTAGTCGATGGAACTTGGAGCACGCCAACCTTGCTAGATTGAACCAGCTGGGCAGAAACTATGGGAGACAGGCACTTCCCCAAGTAACCAGGCCCTATGCCATGTAGGGCTTTATAGGTGGCAACGAGCACCTTGAATTGCACTTGGAAGGAAACTGGCAACCAGTGCAGCTCATGAAGCAAAAGCATTATATGGGCATACTGAGGCATGCCCATCACTGCCCGTGCTGCTGCATCCTGGACCAGCTGAAGCTTCTGGGTGGCCTTCAAGGGCAGCCCCACGTAGGGCACGTTGCAGTAATCAAGCCATGAGGTGACCAGGGCATGAGTGATTGTCTGAAGGGCCCCTGATCTAGGAAAGGGCACAATTGGTGCACCAGATGAAGCTGGGCAAAGGCTTCATCTTTTTGATGAAAAACAGACTGGCCTATGAATTTACATTACTATAAATTAATTTCAGATAATTCTGTCTGGGCCTGTTTTGCTCCTTAAATCTATTTTTACTAAAGGACAGTATACAGCTGTGCTGGGGTGTAAATATAAATAACAAAAAGGAAATGCTTTTTGAAATCAAATGCCTACTCTAGCCAATTGCCAATTGCTCCAGCAAAAGCACCATGCATAGAAGCAATTTTCTGCAGACATAACCAATATGGATCAAGATGTTCACCTCGACTATTCAAAAACCTGAATTCATAGCTAAATGTTCCCCATCCAGGATCATCAGTTGAAAGCCAATAGATTAATAGTGTTAATTGTCAGAGATGAAAGCTGATTGAAGCAAATGTAGAGAAGGCTATTTGTAATGTGTAAAGGGTTAGAAAGTAGAAAAATACATAAAAGCATAAATAGATGAACAGGTGACTAAAAAAGGGCCAGAGGTAGTCAATGGGTTATAATTTGTCATATAAGAACTTTACCTAAAACAGCTTATCATTTGGGACAGTTTCTTTTACGTCAGGATGATAAATTACTAATTAATTGATAGATTTTTAAAATCAAAATACTGTAATGGGATTCAAAGTCTGCTAAGTTGTGGAAAAAATTGTGAAACTAATTAATAATGATCATATGTCACCAGTAATAACACAACCACAATGAATGGATGTTAAAATGAATATTCACAGTACATCCTGGCCTAGATAAAATATTGCTATTTTTACTCACAGAGAAGGCACAAGTTATTCCTATAATGCAGAGAAAGAGTAGAGCAGTCTTCATTTTTCTGATGTCTGAAAAAGAAAGAAAGGAAAAGAAAATATACTTCTAAATAGGAAGATAAGGAAAATTGGAAGGTATTAAGATAAACAAATTCTACAATTCTGTTCAAATAATAGCAGAAATATATCTGTTGGGCCTGGTGACTTTTATAGGGGTCTGAACAAACAATTGATTCATTCCATCAGGCCTTCAGTTAATGACAGGGAAAGTTTTTACCATTAGTAATTCCGTAATTATATTTAAGTGAGAGACAATTTGGTGTAGTGTTAAGGTACTGGCCTAGAAATCAGAAGACTGTGAGTTCTAGTCCTCCTTTAGGCATGAAAGCCAGCTGGGTGACTTTGGGCCAGTCCCTCTCTCTTGGCCCAACCCACCTCACAGGGTTGTTGTGGGGAAAATAGGAGGCAGGAGTATTAGATATGTTGGCTTCCTTGAGTTATCTATAAAAAAGGTGGGATAAAAATCTAATAATAATAAGAGGTCCATCCTTGCAAGCATTTAGAAATATTCTAAGATGAATTTAGAAATATTCAGATTTATATTAGCAGTTTATGTATCATAAGATCTAGATTTCCATGGCTAAGTCATGGTAACGAAATTATCTATATTTAACATGATGGATGGGAGAGACAAATCATGCCAGTTCATGAATTTTGAGTTCCTTTCACCTGCTGGTAGAGCCAATTCTGTGAGATCTTGCTGATTATTGGCTGGTATGGCAGTGAGAGAGTTGTAGGATAGAAAAGTGGAGAGAGAAACTCCCCATCTCTCCAAGTGACATGTCTAGTTTCTCCTCATGATTGCTTTCAGGTTTACCCCCATAGGTCTGCCTCACAGCAAACTTTCAGGCTGTGGCAGTGCCTTGAATGAAGGGGGAAATTCATAGAGGACTTTATGTCTTTCATGTTTATTTATTTCTGCCCAGAGGTGGCAGCAAATGGGCAGCCTTGCTGGAAGAAAGAATGGGCAAGGGAGCGTGAGTATCCCTCTGAACAGTATCAGAAGGCCGCCATTGCAGCCTTCCTAGAGTGTCCCGTGGTCATGTAATGCTGCTTCAAGGACCTAAAGACAATCTCAATAATTCCTTGGAAACTGGAAAAAAAAATAGAGGGCTGAGCAAAATGCTTTCAGGAATTGTAAATCCTTGCTAAGGACTGGGAGATTATTTCTGGTTTACAAATGTTACAGCCCTCGCACTAATGTATTCATTGATAGGTTCATTACAGTTGTTGCTCATCATTTTTGGTTCATCATAGTTGCAATTTCAATGCAATCAGCATGCATTCAATCATTTCACAAACAACGCTAGTTCTTGTTTTGCAGACTTTAATGGTATGTTTCTCTGAACCCAAGAAAACTTAAAGCCAGCAATGTTGTATTTGATGGCTTAGATGCTATTAAGATGGTATTAAGAAGTATGTTATTTTGAAGAATGACTACCAACCCTTGCTTTATATGAGATAACAGGTTTTTTTTAATTATTCTGGAATAGCCTTCCCCAACCTGATTGGACCCAGATGTGTTAATTTCCAACCAGCATTCTGAAAGTTGGACACCAAAACATCTGCAGGGTTCCAGATTGAGGAAAGCTGTTCCAGACATCAGAGCCTTAAGTGGCACAAGAGATGCCTATTATTTCTCCATTGCTCAAAACTATTAATTAAATTTCAGAATTTGTCCAGGAAGCTGCCCTGGAACAATTTCACCAGTTTCACTGGGGTTGGTGGCCTTGATCTACACATCTCAAAACACACATCCAAATGTGGGAAAAGCTGACAGAGAGTATCAGTAAGTGGAACAAACCTTGTTAAAAGAGTGATATGTTAATCCATATCTAAATTGCTTTATTACAATTTGTAATTAAATCACTGATTGGAAGGACAAAATTAAATGAAGCATAGTCTATAAAGGATTATGAACATGTACAAGTAAATACAAGGATTACAGTTTTATGTATATTCAGTCCTTCTGGAAAATAGCCCAAGACTTAACATAAGCAATATATTTAATTGATGACTTAAAATATTTATAGTTTTGTTTCTACAATGTGAATAGTAAGCTACAAATCTCATGTTATGTGTATTATTTTGTATAACAGACACATAGTCTTGCTTAGACCATCTAGTAATTTCATGACTGAGGAATATTTGAACAATAATTTTTTGGAATATGAAATCTGTTGGGCTCGTCCCTATTTGCATTATAGAAAACTACCTTTAGGGATCATCATAAGGATTTTATAAATCAAAGATGGTGGTAATGATGGCAAAAATCTGGTCCTCCAGAAGCTGATGGGCAGCAATTCCTGTAATCTCACAGGCCATACTAGCTGATGGAAGTTGGGGTTTAGTAATTTTTGGAAGACAGCTTGCCCATCCCTGAGACTTAGATAATGCAGGATAAGGGCTATGAAAACATACAGTGTACTGAATAAATGCCAAGTTTCTTTCTTATAGTAAGGTGACTCTACAAAATCATCGTTCTCTCTCAGCTTTCCATCACCATACCCTCTTCCCAGTTCCCACAAGAAATCATTTTAAATTAAATCCAGCTAAGCATTTTTAAGAAAAGGAGACTCGAATGTCCCTGTATTATAGCTGGTACAATATAAAATCCTACCCTTGTTTATTTAATAAAAATTATCTAAAGCAAGCAAAATAAAGTGGTGGAGTAAATCACTGATTTAAATCATAGAAATAATGCTCCTGAGAAATTCACACCTGCAAAGCAAAACACAGTTTATCTTAAAAACAGAGTCAAAAATTTAGAAATGCGTAGATTAAGAAATGTCAGAAACCTCACTGCTTGCCCAGGACCAATATAGCTGCCCGTCACTTACCAAGCTGCAGTCCTGCAGGATACAGATTGGCCTCCAAGGAGTCAGGGAACAGAGATTTAACAGAGCATCTGTTTGTTCTTGGCCAACCTACTGGGATATGCACACTATTTTTACCCTCCACCAGCCAATCAGCACTTTCCTTGCATGATGTCAGCAAGTGGACTCTTACCAGAAAAATTCAACCAAACTTCAACCATTTTTCTAGTCACAGATGTCACTTTCAAACATAAAGAGCTGTTTTAGTGCCCAAAGTTTTGGATCATTCCACTTAATTGATGGGTTGAGTTAGAGATGAATAGGTTTGGATGCTGAACTCTATAATAATGGTCTGGGTTTGATTTGAACTAAATATTGGGATCATTAGTTGTGTGTGTGTGTGTGTGTGTGTGTGTTTCATTCTTCTGTGGGAGAGAAGTGGACTAGGCAACAAGTACAGAAGGAATGTTTCATTCTGTTGTAAAACTGCATAGAAAAGCAAGGGAAATGTTTGAGGGACAATTCATCTGAACATGGGTTACAGTTGGCTTTGCTGTTGAAAGGTCACCTTACCCTATATTTGTCTTATTTGAAGCTCTTTGAATAAACAAAAATGATGACACATGGATAAATCTGTGTGATTATTATTATTTTTTTAACCTGGCAGTTTACTGCATATTTTGTATTCACTGTTCTTGTGTGGTCAGTGTATTTCATACAATATCCCCAGAGTAAAGGAGACGTAAGGCCACAAAAATGTAGCAAAAACATTTTGAAGCAAGCAGTCACAGGCACTCCTGGTAAGAATATTCAGAACAATAAGAAGAAGCTGAGCTGGATCAACTTTTATTTATTTATTTATTTATTTCCATCTATACGGCCTCCCGTTTTGCCAAAGCAACTCTGGGCAGCAGAGTTTCAATAACAAGAGTATAAATAAGTGTAAGAACACCACACACTATCAAGACAAAAGGGAAAAATGGTGGCCAGGAGTAAAAGCCTCAGAATAATAAGAAATCCCCTGAATTTCATTAACTTCCTGATTCAAATGCCTGGGTGAACAGCCAGATTTTAAGTGCTTTATGAAAAGCCAACATGGTTGGGGCCATCCCAGTTTCAGGTGGTAAGGTGTTCCATGACAGAAAAGGCACAATTCCTGGGTCCTTCAAGTTGGCATTCTTTATTTGATGGGATCTGAAGTATGCTCCTCCAGCTGATCTCATAGGGACAGGGCAGGGACAATTGGAGAGAGGCAGTCCTTCACGTATTTTGGCCCCATGCCATGAAGAGTGACAACCAGCACCTTGAACGGTACCCTACTGGGAGCCAGTGCAGCTGATGAAGCAAAGGTGGGACATGGAATCAACATGAATCAAGAAACGCCCATTATTCCCCACACTACAATATTCTGGACCAATTGCAGCTTCCAGATGTTCTTCAAGGGCAAGCCCATGTAGAGTGGATTGCAGTAGTCCGTTCAAGAGATGATCAAAGCATGAGTGACCATGCACAGTGCTTCTTGATCTAGAAAAGGGTACAAGTGGTACACAACACAAAGTTGTGCAAAAGCTCCCCTGACCATGGCTATTCCCATAGGGCAACAGCATTCTTTTACTCGTATTGCCAACTCAGATATCTCTAAGAAGCTAAAATAGACACAAATTGAATTAGTATAAACATCTGGAACAATTTCTTTCTGAAACTGTGGAGAGGTAGTGTTTGTCAATGTTATTCATACAGAGTTAGATGGGCCTATATTTTGACCCCATATATTGCAATGTTCTATGTTCCTATATAAAATTTCTCTTGTCTTCATTTCTCCCCAGAAAGCAGAAATCAGTGGCATAGTGACTCAAAACTTTGAAGTTTTGTGTACTCAAATATAAACTTCTCCCTTAAAAGAAAATTGTTTCCCATTTTCAAAGCATTTCACCAAGCTACCGATCATTAGCATATCCAGCATATCAGCTCCCCTTCTTTATCTGAACTATATCTTGGATAAAGAAATATTTCCTTTTGATAAAAAATGATGCCCAAGATGCTTCAACATCTTCTCTATGTTTTTTGTTTCATTCAGAATTCTTTGGCGTCCTTGAAAGTATTTATTGTCCCCATTGAAGAAGGAGAACGCAAGAAACTACAGATCTGTCAGCTCGATGTCAATATTGGGCAAAACTTTGGAGAGATTGTAAGCATGGGTTTGTGGCCAACAAATCATGGCAGATTAAATTTACCTCCTAATTTGATTTATCAGCTTCGTAAATTAGAGGAATGTGATAGAACTCAGCAGTGTCATTTCTTAGATGCTCTAGGCATGAATGAAATGTCCTTACCTTAAAATCATCAGCTTTGTTACAGGTTCTTTTTTATTCTCAACCTGGAGGCTTATTTTGAAATAATATTAAAAAATACTGGCAACCAAAAGGACACTTCTCTTTGCTAGCCTTAAGCTATCTCTCCTCAGATGGGGTCTTCAACTTTGCCTCCTATTCTACAGCAACATTAATCTCTGAGAGCAGAAAACAAACAAAAAACCCACACGTTGTTCAATGTAGAGTGCCACAAAAATGTGGAACATTGGAGAACTTTAAAATTTGCCAGGTCTTACTCAAAAGAGCAAGGTAATCAGGCCATGTAAGGCCCCAGAGTTTGCAAAATTTATCTTATTAATAATGTTATTAATAACAGAAAAAGATCTGCAGAAAAATGTGTAATATTTAGCATATGTTGAGCAATAGTCTTGTCTTAAATTGGAGAGTTTGAATGTTCCACTTGGTTTTGGTTAGGGTACCAAGGGTTAGCAGTCATTGATCTTGAAAAAATACATTTGACCACAAGAGGACTGTGGTTTTTCTGACTCCTTTGAAAAATGCCACCTTCTCAAACTGTGTTCTTCAACACTATTCTAGGTTTGAGACTCCATGCTGATTCAGAAGCAAAATGGCCACCTATATTCAGTACAACTTTCAGCAGCATTCCTTGGTGGTCTGACACTTGACTGAACCCCTAGGGAAAAGCATGTGCATGTCTGAGAGTGGGGTTTAGGATGGACCCAGAAGTATTAATATGTATTGTATATGCATACACTTGTCCCTTTAGACCTCTGTCTTGCAGGCTGAACATACCCAGTTCCTTTAATCAATCCTTATAGGACTTGACTTCCAGTCCCCTCATCATCCTGGTAGCCCCTCTCTGAACTCACTCCAGTTTGTCAATGACTTTTCTGCAGTGCCCAGAATAGAACACAGTATTTCTGACCAAAGCAGAACATAGTAAGCTGGAATTCTGTGAGCTGGACTTGGTCTTCTGTTAATATTTCCCGAACTAGCAATTGTCTTTTTAGTATATTTTTTACTATATCACCCTGTTGCTCAAATTCAACTTGTGATCTAGAGATCTAGTTGCATCACCCAGATCTTTTCTACATGTACTTCTGCCAAACCAAGACTCCCCCCATCCTCTACCAGTGCCTTTTGTTTTTTCTCCCCAGATATATGACTTTACACAACTCCCTGTTAAATTTCATTCTGTTCATATCAGCCAAGTGTTCAAGCCTACCTAGATTTTTTTGAATCTTTTTTTCCCCCTTGTCTGAAGTGTTAACTGCTCCTCCTAGTTTAATGTCATCTCAACCCCTTCATCCAAGTTATTAATACAAATATTGAACAGCGCAGGAGAGAAGCTTGTGGCAATCCATTTGATACTACTCTCCAAGCTGATGTGGAGCTATTTATGATTACTCTCTGGATGTGGTCATTCAGTCAGTTATGCATCCGTCTAACAATGGTATCACTTAGTCCATATATTACCATTTTATTAATGAGGATATCATGAGATGTTTACTTTTTTTCTGAGAACAAGGCACACTCTGCTGATACCATTCCCCCAATCAATTACTGTATGTTAGTAACTCTCAAAAAAGGAAATCCAATTAGTTTGGTGTGTCTTGTTTGTGATAAATCCAAGCTGGCTCTTGTTAGTCATAGGATTCTTATCCAAGTGCTCACAAACATGGTATTTAATTATGTGCATGAGGACCTTGTCCTGTAATTTCCTGGGTTATCCTTCTTCCATTTTTTGAAGATAGAGACAACATCGATGTCCTCCAGTCTTTTGGAATCTCAAAGTTTCTCCAAGTGGTCTCAAAGTCAGCAGTTCTGCAGTCAACTTCACTAGTTCCTTCAGTATCCTAGCTTGTAATCTGGTTTTGGAGACTTGAATTCATTTAAATTAGCCAAATTATCTTACTCTTTTTGTCTATTCTGAGCTGCAGCTGTTTCCTTCTACTAGTGACAAAATGATAACCAACTTGTGCTTCATTTTTTGTCTGAGGGAAGATGCATGCAAAGTACAGATTAAGGCATTCTGCTTTCTCACCATCACCTAGTACCAATTCACCCCTTTTCCTGGCAGCAGACCTATAATTTCCCTCCATCTTCCTTTTTGCTTCTGATATACACACAACAAAATCTTTTGTTGTTGTTTTGGACATTTTGCACAAGCTTCAGCTTATTCTATACTTTAATCTTCCCTAAAGTTTCTGATTGCTGCCTTATATCCTTCTTTGATCACACACCTCTCCTTCTACTTCCTATTGATGTCCCTTTTTCATTTCAGCCTCTTAGAAAGTTTGTGTGTACCCACAGTGGTAACTTTGGATATCTCCGTTTTTTTCCTAGTAGGAAGGATTTCCCATCCTTCCTGGATACTTTTCTCCTTCACTATTTCAATCCACTGGATCTGATTCAGCTTTCTTCTTCATTCATTCCAATCTGCTGTTCATAGTTCTAGTATACAAGTCTGACTTTTCTCTATTCCCCTTGATATCGTGAACCCAAGGGTCACACAGTCACCTTCCCCCAGGTCCCCTGCATATTTTAAACCAATTCCTTTTACTTGGTAAGGATTAGATTGCCCCCTATGTTCCTTCTACTACCTTCTGCCAAATGAAGTTGTCAGCAAGAGAGGACAGGAATTTGTCAGATCTTTGATTCTTGGTATAATTAAATTTCCAGCAAATGTCATAGTACTTAAAATCTCCTTTTGTCACTGTTAAGCATCTCCTTGAAAGTTTGGTCACCTGACACAGAGAGGTCGCATCCAGGCACTCTATAATAAATGTCCACAACAATATCACTTTTGTTTTCTGTCCTTTTATTTTCACCCAAACATTCTCAGCAGGATTTCCATGTTCTGATTTGTGAATTTCTATATTTTCTCTAACTATACTCCCTCCCTCTTTGTCAAGTCTGCTCTTTATGAACAAGGTGTATACTTCCAGGGCCATGTTCTAGTTGTCTATCATCCCATCGAGTCCCAGTGATGTGTAAGTTCTCTTTGTTTCTCATACTCTGTGCACTGGCATAGAGACGTCTAGGAATGTGAATGGTATATCTACTGGCTATGCTGTTGTAATTTACTGCTAATTTCTATGTCCTGCCTTCCACCTTATGCTTCTTTCTTTATCTACTATGATTCTGGCCCCAATACTTGGTGGTACAGGTAGTTCTCAACTTACGACCACAATTGGAACTGGAACTTCTGTCACTAAGTGATGAGGCTGTTGAGTTGCACCTGATTTTATGAACTTTTTTGCCACAGTTGTTAAGCAAATCACACGGTCATTAAGCAAATCCAGCTTCCCCCATTGACTTTGCTTGTTAGAAGCCCCCTAGCAAGGTTGCAAATGGTGATCATATGACCCCCGGGACATTGCAACCATCATAAATACATGCCAGTTGTCAAGTGTCTGAATTTTGGTCATGTGACCGCAGGGACGCTGCAGTGGTCATAAGTGTGAGGACCAGTCGTAAGTCACTTTTTTCAGCACCATCATAACTGTGAACAGTCATTAAATGTATGGTCATTAAGTTGAGGACTACCTGTATATCAGTTCTTGGCATTTGACATGCTCCCCTTTTTGCAAACATGTCCTTCCTAATCTTCATGAGATGTAGCTCATCTCTTTCCAGGAGTGTTTTATGTAAGCAATGCAGTCAATGGTCAAGGGACTCAAACCCTTTTTGGTGGCACCATCTACATAATCATTTGTTCACTTCCAGGAACCTGTACACTCCTTCTGCACTATGAATCCCAACTGGAAGGACTGACAAAAGCAGTACTTGAGCTCCATTTTCCTCACCTTCCTACCCTGAGGACCTCTGGAGACCCATTCCCATTCTGGCAGTGTCATTTGTCCCCATGTGAATCAGTAGGAAGGGATGATTATCAGTTGGTTGGCAGAGTCTTGGCAGTCCATCCTTCACACCCTAGATATGGATCATCCATCTACTGCAGCGTCATATAAGATCTGCATGCTGCAGCCTTGGTTTCTCTCAGAAGGAAATCACTTTAACTTTCTTAATTTAAATATACTACCCTGTCTGCAAAATCCATTTGGGAAAGTCATGACCTGCCAAAGTCTTCACAGTAACCTCTAGTTATACTCATTACAGAGTCCACTCTATAAAATATTTCTAAAAATATTTTGTTTCTAAAAATAAGATTCTTGTTTTTATAGCAAGCCCAGTGTAAGGGAAAGCAATTGCAATGGATGCTAAAAATATGACTTTCTCTTCTCCTTGGAATTTAGTGTCCAGCTGGAATAAGAAGAATCTTTATAACAGGATCTTTCCTAAACACTTTCATCCTGGGTGTTCTTTTCTGAACTAGATTTAAAATGGAGAGCAAGAACAATGGTTCACTTTCTGTTGTTAAATGTCAGAGCCAGTTATTAGACTGATAAGCCATTCAAGTAACCATTCCCCAAGCAATCACAGCTCTGGTTTGCTCCTTCTTCATACACACACAAGAAAAAAATAAATCCCAAACCAAGCTTCCACCCCTTTATCTAGAAATCATGTCCCAAAAAGAGGCAGAATTGTCCTACAGTAATTTCCTTGTATCAAGGTTTCTCATTTGAGATTAGAATACTCACTGGAATTGTGGCGTTCTTTGACCTTAATAGATACTACTAATCAGAGCTCTTGGGGGTAACCACTTTTTGCCTAGGCTGCTACCAGAAGCATGATATTAAGCAGTTCTTCACCCAGCCAATATCTGGATGTGTATCTGTTTCAGACTTCTCCAACTAAGATGTCCACCAGCTGTGTAGGTTTCAATTCCCAGAATACCCATTGCTGTGAATTTACCAAAACTGGGAAGTGTAGTTCTATAATATCTATCTATCTATCTATCTATCTGAAGAGCAGAACACAATGCTACCAGGCCTCCTATCAGTACTACCAG